TGACGACCCTGTCTGACATTCCTGTGCAGTTTGGTTAAATCAGTCATGGTTGAGAACAGGGATCATCTTCCATAAGGACTAAGCAGGTGCCTGGTCTCTGGCAGTCCTCTGAATGAAGGTGATGTGCTCACCAGATTCTGCTACTGAGTCAAACTTAAGAAAGACTGCCCACTCAGGTGAAAAATCTTAACCTTGTCATGGCAACATCTGAGGATTCACTGGCTTTGTTCTTGAAAGTGGAGGTGAAACTGAATGCCTCTGGTACTGGCCTTTTCCTGGCAGATGTTCACTGGTTGCAGCTAGTGGTTGCAAAAGAGAAGAGAGGGAATTATTTGTTGAAAATGCATAAAAGCACAAGCAGGTTAAGAATGAGTTAGTACTAATGGTAATGGGAGAACAATGCAGCACAATAAAGTTGATTGAGCTGGTTGCAGGTTGAGCTTCCTACATTTCCATATGAACAGTTGTGCCCCCCTCTGGTTAGCCATGGTGGAGAAGTCAGGCTGGTTTTATTTCCAAAGCAGGAATTTATAAAATGATCTACTGACTGACTGTGTCTACAAATTATGTGCTTTTTGAACAAAATAGAATGTGTCTGTAAATACAAATCTGCAAATGCAAATTCACCCCATAGATTTATATGTGTGTGTGTGTGTCACAGAGAGCGAGTGTTTGTGTGTGTGTGTTTGTGGAAGAGTGTGTAGGGGTGTGTTTGTGTGTGAGAGAGAGGGAGGAAGAGAGAGAGTGTGTGTGTGTGTGTATGTGTGTGTGTGAGGGGTGGGGGGAGGGAGAGAGAGAGAGAGACACACACACACAAATCTATGAGGTGAATTTGCATTTGCAGAAAAATTTTTCTGAAGAAGGGTCCAGACCGGAAACGTCAGCTTTCCTGCTCCTCTGATGCTGCTTGGCCTGCTGTGTTCATCCAGCTCTACACCTTGTTATCTCTGGTATACATTGATAAAACCTTTAGTTATCTCAGGGCAGTGACTTGGAAGAAATTCTGGGATTTGCATTTTAATCAATCAAAACCTGCATCTCCTTTCTAGCTGATTAAAGATTTAACAGGAGGGAGTAAGCCATTTTAGGTTTATCCAAAACATTCACATCAGTTGTATGATCCTTTACTTATAAATTCTGTGTCTTGATGCCTTTCTCACTATACCTATGAAGGAGCAACACTTTGAAAGCTAGTGTTTTCAAATAAACCTGTTGCACTATGACCTGGTGTCGTGTGATTTTGACTCGCTCTGGTTAGATTGAGGATTTCTTCTTTGTATGGTGTGAGAAACCTGATGTCTGCCAGCTGTTACCACTCTCGCAAGTCTCAGCCTGGATGTGTGTCTGTTTTGTTGTTGTGTGACAAGGGGAGTGATTGAATATGATGAAAATGGATGAAAGATCAGTTAGTGATTGATAATACATTTTCTAAATAGTGAGAAACTTCAGAAGTCTGAAGTGCAAAGGGACTTGGGAGTCGTAGTCCAGGATTCTCTTAAGGTAAAGTTGTAGGTTGAGTCAGTAGTTAGGAGGCAAATACAATGTTGGCGTTTATTTCGAGAGGACTAGAATATAAAAGCAGGGATTTACTTCTGAGGTTTCATAAAGCTCTGGTCAGACCACATTTAGAATATTGCGAGCAGTTTTGGGCCCTATACCTCAGGAAGGATGTCCTGGCCCTGGATGGGGTTCAGATGAAATTCACGAGAATGATCCCAGGAATGAAAGGTTTAACATATGAGGAACGCTTTATGACCCTGGGTCTATACTCGATAGAGTTTAGAAGGATGAGGGGGGATCTAATAGAAACTTATAGAATACAGAACAACCTGGACAGAGTGGATGTTGGGAAGATGTTTCCCGTGGCAGGAGAGACTAGGACTCGAGGGCACAGACTTAGAGTGAAGGGAAGACCCTTTAGAACGGAGATAAGAAGAAAATTCTTCAGCCAGAGAGTGGTGAATCTATGGAACTCATTGTCACAGAAGGCTGTGGAGGCCAGGTCATTGATTAAATATAAGAAAGAGATACATAGGTTCTTGATTGTCAAGGGGATCAAGGATTACGGGGAGAAAGCAGGAGAATGGGGCTGAGAAACTTATCAGCCATGATTGAATGGTGGAGCAGACTTGATGGGCTGAATGGCCTCATTTCTGCTCTATTGTCTTATGATCTTATGTGCAGAAGAGATGTTGAAATGTTCCCAGAGAGTGAATAGGAAGTGCAGGGGCAGGATGGAAGGATGAACTGGGTAAAAGTTGATAAGTGGACATGCTGCATGTAATACTGAGCCTTGGTGAGATGCATTAGCAGTAGCAGAGTTAGAATATTGACCCACTGAATGTGAGGTAACAGAGAGACAATAGTAGCACTTACTTTAGTGAGAGCAATAGATAATTTACCTTCTCCCTGTACTGCTGGATATTCTGTTTTACCCAGGATACCGCACTGACCCAGGCTGTACTTTTGAGTACAGGCTAGTTTGCTGTGCTCGTGTGGCCTCCTGTGGTTGTCAGCTGGAAAAATGACAGCACTACGTCTCCTCCACCCTGCCCACTGACACATCCAGACCCACGACCATGAAGCAGAGAGCAAACTTTCCTTTACAATGGGTCGTGTGTTTGCTAAAAATGGTTGAGCACCACAGTGTGAGGGGTCAGTCTTTACTCGATGCGTTTGAGGTGGTCTGCAGCTGGGCTTTCGACATAAAGGTCCTTGCAGTGACGAGTGTTTTTGCCTGTCCGACTGCACAATTACTCGAGCACGGTACCCAAGAGCCATGTCTTACAATTACTAAAGTGAAGTGTGGAAGATTGTGTGAGAAAATTCACTTCAAGCCTTGTCAAATTGTGCACCGTGAATCCCTTTGACAAAACTCTTTAACAGCAAATAGGAAAATTCTGCCTTTTATACCTTTCATTCCATCTTTCTTAACATTGCTTTTGTATAAAATAAGAATCAGCTTGCCTTCAGTGGTTATTAATTATTATGAGCTGCTGTTAGCATTTTTACTTCTAAAATAAAACAAAGAAGTTTGGATACTGGAGATGTGAAACAGATTAAACAGAAATTGCTGGAAAATTTCAGCAGATCTGGTAACTTCCAGATCATTGGACTTGAAATGTTAATTCTGTGTTCTCTTGACCTGCTGAGATTCTGCAGCAACTTCTTTCTTTTAACTGTTTAACAGCATCTTAACTGTTCTGCTTTTGGCTGTGGCCACTTTTTTACTGATAAGAGTTTTGAACTTATTTCTAATTTTTCAAATAACTCCCCTCTTTCACTCGAAGTCAGAGAGCTAATCACTTTAATACTGCAAGGCTCTGCTGTTAATACAACATAAAGCTTAATTAAACTTGCGGTTCTCACTCCTAATGACCCCGTCATGTATGCCTATTTTCTTAAGAGTCTGAGTGTGGCGAACTAACATTCCATTCTCCATGACAACCAGTCTAGATTTCATGTTTACTGGATTAGTCAACAGCTGAAGCATCTAACGTCATAAGAAGTTCCATTGAGGTAAAATTCAAAAAGCTACAAGGATCATACTGAACAACCCCATCTAGGATTTGCATTTTAAATTTGAGACTTATGCATTTTTAAAAGCATATCAATATAAAATAAAACAGTACCTATTTGAAATCTAAATTGAAAGCAAGAATTGCTGCATGAACATTGCAGTCCTGACAGATTCTGTTAAAGATTCTTTGCCCAATCTGGAAACTGTTACACGTAACTATGCAGGAAATCAGCACCAAAAAGCGAGGGGTCCAAGTGCTATCACAAAGAGTGACCCATGATTTTAAATCGTTTCCAAATTTGAGAAGTATAGAGTCCTGGTGAATAAATTAAAGGTTATCTTACTGGGGGAATAAAAAGACATTAAAAGAACAGTGGCTAAATAGCTAGAGAAATAGCTAAGTTAAGAAATAGAAATATATTGAAGAGAAGCACAAAAAATAACAGGATTTATTTTAGTCCTTCTGCATGTTGTAAATGCGACTGCAACAGCTCCCAAAAGGCACTGGATAAGTACATGTATAGGAAAGGTTTGGAGGGATATGGGTCAAATGCAGGCAGGTGGGACTAGTTTAGTTTAGAATCATGGTCGGCATGGACAAGTTGGACCTAAGGGTCTGTTTCAGTGCTGTATGACTCTTTGACTTTACGAATACTCTTTCTGCCTTGTTTACAATGGTGCTCCAGCTGCCTCCAACTGGCTAGGTCCATTTGTGTTAAGTTGAAATTCACTGTATTATGCAACTTCAGATGCTATTGCATATTGTCAGACCCTAATTTCAATTTTGAAATATAACTGGGAAGAAGTTGCACCATGCATACTCTATCGGCTTTTAGCCAGTTGAGACGTGGGCAAGCCAGTGTTCCTTGAAAGAACTACTACAATCTGCTTCACAAACAGTATAGGAAATATTAGAACATTTTTTTGATCAGGCTGATAGCAACAGGAGTGTTCCTCCTGAATGCACAGAATTCTCTGGTTATTGATTCTCTGGTTATTGAGGACACCTCTGATTGCCACCCCCGACCCCACCCCAGCTCCACCCCTGAAGCCCCATGCCCACCCAGAGTGCAGTTGGTGACTGCCTAGTGTCTGTGGTTCATCAGCAGCATGTTAATAATAAATGAAGCCCATGTCAGAAAATGTTTCAGACATCATGCTGGCAAAAAAATGGGTAAGGTGGCGAGTGTACTGCACGAACTGCCAACATGTCCCCAAGTTGTCATTAAAATCACCACCCTCGACTGAAAACTGGAGGAAAAAACAGCAAGAAAATTGGAGCTGTAGTTATGATCTAAAATTGGTTTTGTTAACATTCAGACCAAACGGCTGTAATGTACTCAAAAGGCCTCGGATTCAAATTATGAAATTAGCTTGAAGTACATTAATGAATCGAATACCCTGCCCTGTACTAGCTGTTCTAACTGCTTTTCTTCATAACCCATGCTAAACTCAGCATTGACTAATTCTTCTGTTGTAGGTTTATGATGGTTTGGATGAAGCAGCCCCCGTGTTGGGAAAACTGTGTGGTAGTTTAATTCCAAAAAGGATTACATCAACTCACAATGTAATCTATGTACGTTTCCGCTCAAATAACAGTAATGAGCACAAAGGATTCAGAGCACAATTTGACCAAGGCAAGTCCAATTTAAACTTTTGGCTTTGGGTATTGACATTGTCTCATCCTGAAAGTCCAATTTTCACATTCTGTTTTGTTTGCAGCTTGTGGGTCCTACATTATTACTGATGATGTTGGTGGAGTTATCACATCACCTCTGTATCCTAAAAACTATTTAGACAATCAGAAATGTTCCTGGATTATTCGAGCGCAGAAACCATGTAAGTAAAACACTGACCATGATCACTGTGAATCTCCTGTGTGTACTTTATGTAGTTGCATTGGTTAGTGCTGAATGATCTTCCTTTCTGTGCATGGTTTGCCAACTAGGAAGTTGATCATCATCTATGTTTTGTTGTAGCCAACTATTTGTATTAATGCTGACAATATGTCCATCAACCAATAAACTGGTTGCCAGCACACTCTCCTCTGAATCAGAAGATTGTGGGATTAAGTCACACTTAAGACAATCTTGTGAAGTACTGAGGGAGTGCTGTATTGACAGAGGTGCCACCATTTAAGTGAAATGTGAAAATGCCTATTCAAGTGGGTATAAAATAACCCATAGTATCATTTCAAAGACAAGCAAGGGACATCCTCCCCAGTGTTCTGTCTACTATTTATCCCTCAACGTCAATCATTACCAGAGAGACCAGTCTTTTTGACTCATTTCATGTGATATCAAGGAATGGCTGAAGACGCTGGATACAGCACAGGATGTGGGACCTGTGAGTACTACTGAAGATTTGTGGTCCAAAACTAGCACACACCAAGATGTTAATTACAGCTACAATACTGGCATTTACCTGACAATGTGGAAATTTACCCAGGTATGTCATATGTACAAAAAGCAGCGCAGTTCCAATCAGGCAATTTAGAACCTCAGTAGTCTACGCTCAACCATCAGAAGAGTAATCAAAGATGTCAGTGATGGTGCTGTCAAGAAGCGCTTAAGCAGCAAAAGCCTACTGATTGCTCAGTTTTGGTTGTGCCAGAATCACTTGTTCCAGACCTCTCTGTTACACACCTCATTACAGCTTTGTTCCAAACATTAAAATGGGCAAAAGAACTGAACTGCAATGTGGAGGGGAAATAGATGCTAACAGAGGTGAGACAAAAATATCATGTAATTATTTTTACCTAATTTGTTAGGAACAAATGCAGTGACAATAGAGCTAAATACTTAATGCTCTGTTTATTTTGGCAGCGTGGCTATGGCCACCTTGATTTAAATTTGAACCCAAGCAGCCCAGAGACTCAATCATATCTAATGGCGCCAAGATCTTATCATGCAGAAATATGGATAATGAAAGCTAAATATCAGGTCATACAGTGCTCCGTCAATTCAGATCTTTCTTTAAAAGGGCATTGTCTTCAGGAATGTCGACTAGAAAGCCTTATCTCTTTGCAAATATGACTTTATTCTGTAACCTGGGTACTGAATTTAATCAAAAGTCAACTGGACAGGGTGTACAAAGGCAATTGATCTGTGAAGTACTTAAAGGGACATTAAAGGAGTAATTGAAGTGTTACCTTAGGGAAGATTTGGCAAAGCGTTGTACCATTTTAAAACAGAAAAAGAGATGGCAACACAATCCAGAATATGATACTAATGCAACCATAGTACCATTACAGCAACCAATTTTATTATATGCTAGAATTGAAAAGAAATGTGTTGGAAAATGCTTGCACAATGCTACATACAAACTCATTGGACTAATATACAGCAGAATTTAGATGGTTAATTCTGGGGATTTCAGAAATTAGGTCTTTACTGCCTGCTAAAGATATAATTGTCCCGATAACTTGCCTGTCACTATCCCACACAATCCTGCTGTCATCAGTTCTTACCTCTCTATCGAGAAGGCAGGATAGGTGTCCTGTGAAATCAACACAGTCTTCCTTTGAATTTGGGCATCGAAGTCTGAAGACACCATCGGACCCCACTTGCAATTTTAACAGTGGCTTATGTAGGAAGACTATTGCAATTTTCTCACTGGGTGAAAACTGCAGAAAAGAGACCTGGAATCACATAAGGAAATTAAAGTTTTCCTGCAAGCCTTACGAAGCAATTTTGCGGATTAATCATGCAATCCTTCCCAGAATGCCCCCTGAAATCCCATCCCTGCAGCTCAATGTGATGAGAATCCCTTTGGGTGCTAACAGATGTCCTGTCACCAAAGCTTCTGCTTCAACCCAGTGGCCCACTGTATCTTCATGAAGAAACCAGATGAAGGAAAGACTGTTCTGCCAGTTGCCTTGTCCCTTCTACAAAACAAATTTAACTCCACATTAAATTTGAGGTTTCGATTAACTTCAGAGCTATTTTTTGGGAACATTCTTACATATGAACAAATTTAAAATTGTGGAATCTTGTGTCAAAAATTGAAGACGTTTCAGCAGTTCTCATCAAAGGTTTGAGTTTCTAGGATAGAATGTTATTTCCTTGTGAAAAAAATAAGTGGAGTAATTTGTGTGAGGAGATGTGATGGCTCATGGTTTCCTTGTAACCACTGCTTTTGGTAATTGCTGCAGTAACTTGAGTATTTTTTTTGTCAACAGTTAACCATGTTACCATCTCTTTTACTGACTTTGCAATTGAAAACGGTGGTGCAAACTGCCCAGCAGATGCTTTGCAAATCTTAGATGGAGACAACTATGCGGCCCCTTCTATTGGTAAGTGAAGGAGTGACGTAATTTTCATATGTAAACCAGTACATCTCTACCAATCAAAGTGAGCATTGGTTTAAGCCAGTCTTTCACTTACATTTAATTGAATGCATGTCTTAGAGGTATGCTATAGTTTCCTTGTTGTTAATAATCAGAGAAAGTGATCCTTAAAATTATAACTCATGATTTTTAATTTTGATCCTTCATGGTGAAGGATTAGTCTTTTTGTAATAATTAATTATCTTGATTTGATGAATTAAATGAGGAATTAAATTATATGTTATTTGAGTGTGGCTGGGTAAAGAACAAGGCAGTATTTATAGGGGATTCCATTATAAAGTGAATGGACAGACATTTCTGTGGCTGGAAAGGAGACTCCAGGATGGTATGTTACCTCCCTGCTGCTAGAGTCAACGATGTCTCTGAACTGGTACAGGACATTCTGGGTGGGGGTGGGGAGGCAGGGTAAACAGCCAGTGGTTATGGTACACATTGGTACAAATGACGTCGGTATAAAGAGGGATGAGGTCCTAAAGGCAGAATATAGGGAGCTAGGAAGAAAGTTAAGAAATTGGATCTCAAAGGTAGTGATCTCAGGATTACTACAAGTGCCATGTGCTAGTCAGAGGAGAAATGACAGGAAATGCCGGATGAATACATGGCTGCAAAGATGATGTCAGGGCCAGGGTTTCATATTCCTGGGGCATTGGGACGAGTTGTTGGGGAGGTAGGACCTGTACAAATTGGACGGTTACACTTGAGCAGGACTGGGACTGATGTCTTGGGGGAGTGTTTGCTGGAGTGGTTGAGGAGGGTTTAAACTAAGATGCCAGGGGGATGGGAACCTATGTAAAGAGTCAGAGAAGGAGGCAGGAAGGACAAAACCAAAAGCTGGAAAAGGGAATAAGAAAAGTGATAGGCTGAGAAACCAAGGACAAGATTCAAACAGGGCTATTGAGAAAAATAAGGAGGAGACAAACACTGTTAAAAGGACAAGCTTAAAGGCTTTGTCTCTTAATGCGCAGAGCATCTGCAATAAAGTGGATGTACTAATCGCGGAGATAGATGTAAATGGGTACGATATAATTGGGATTACGGAGACATGGCTGCAGGGTGACCAGGGATGGGAACGAAATGTCCCAGGGTATTCAGTATTTAGGAAGGACAAGCAAAAAGGAAAAGGCGGCGCAGCAACATTGCTGGTTAAAGAAGAAATAAACACAATAGTGAAAAAGGACATTAGCTCTGACAATGTGGAGTCTGTATGGGTAGAGTTGAGAAATACCAAGGGGCAGAAAACATGAGTAGGTGTCATATATAGATCCCCAAACTGCAGTGGTGATGTCAAGAATGGCATTAAACAGGAAATTAGAGATGCATGTGATAAGGGAATATTGGTGATCATGGGTGATTCTAATCTGCGCATAGATGGGGCAAATCAAAACAGCCATAATGCCGTAGAGGAGGAATTCCTGGAGTGTATACAATATGTGGAAGAACCAACAAGAGAGCAGGCCACCTTAGACTGAGTTCTGTGTAATGAGAAGGAATCATTGCTAATCTAGCTGTGCGAGACCCCTTGGGCAAGAGCGACCATAACATGTTAGAATTTTTTATCAAGATGGAGAGTAAGGTTTTTGATTCTGAGACTAGGGTGCTGAGCCTTAATAAAGGAAACTACGAGGATATGAGGCATGAGTTGGACTTGATAGGTTGGGGAGAGTAACTTAAAGGGATGACAGTGGATAGGCAATGGCAAACATTCAGGGAATGCATGGGGGAACTGCAACAGCTGTTTATTGCTGTCTGTCGTAAAACCAAAATGGGTAAGACGGCCAATTCATGGCTTACAAAGGAAATAAGAGATAGTATCCGATCCAAGGAAGAAGGATACAGACTGGCCAAGAAAATAATAAATCTGAGGATTGGGAACAGTTTAGAATTCGACGAAGAAGGACCAAGAGATTGATTAAAAAGGGAAAAATAGATTACGAAAGTAAGCTTGCAGGGAACGTAAAGGCTGACACTAAGAGTTTCTATGGAAGACAAAGAGATTGGTAAAATCAAATGTAACTCCCCTCAAGGCAAAAACAGGGACAAAGAACTGATTACGTACTTTGATTCTGTCTTCACGAAAGAGAACACAAATCAGATACCAGAATTGTTGGATGATGCAAGATTTGGTGAGAGGGAAGAACTGAGGGAGATCGATATTAGTAGAGAAATGGTGCTGGGAAAATTGTTGGGATCCAAGGTGGATAAATCCCCAGGGCCTGATAATCTACATCCCAGAGTACTTAAGGAAGGAGCTCTAGAAATAGTGGATGCATTGGTGGTCATCTTCCAGGATTCTATAGACTCTGGAACAGTCCCTGCAGATTGGAGGGTGGCTAATATCACTTCAATATTCAAAAAGAAAGGTAGAGAGAGAATGGGGACCAGTGAGCTTAATATCAGTAGTAGGGAAAATTCTCAAATCCATTGTCAAGGATTTTATAACAGAGCTTTTAGAAAGCAGTGGCATGATCAGACAGAATCAGCATGGATTTATGAAGGGGAAATCATGCTTGACAGGTCTGTTGGAATTTAATGAAGATATAACTAGTAGAGTTGACAAGGGGAAGCCAGTCGATATAGTATAGTTGGACTTTGAGAAAGCGTTTGACAAAATCCCACATAAGAGATTAATGTGCAAGATTAAAGTGCATGGGATTGGGACAAGTGTATTGAGATGGATAGGGAACTGTTTGGCAGAGAGGAAACAAAGAGTAGGAATTAATGGGTCCTTTTCAAATTGGCAGGCTGTAACTAGAAGGGTGCCACAGGGTTCGGTGTTGATACCCCAGCTATTCACAATATATTTTAATGATTTCGATGGGGGAACAAAATGTAACATCTTCAAGTTTGCAGATGATACCAAGTTGGGTGGGACAGTGAACTGTGACAAGGATGCAGAGATCCTTCAGCATGATCTCGAACGGTTGGGTGAGTGGGCAAATCAATGGCAGATGCAGTATAATTTGGATAAATGTGAGGTTATTCACTTCGGAAGCAAAACAAGAAGGCAGATTACTACCTGAATGGCTGTAAATTGGGAGAGGGGAGTGTGCAGCGGGACCTGGGCATCCTTGTGCACCAGTCACTGAAGATAAGCATGCAGGTGCAGCAGGCGGTAAAGAAGGCAAATGGTATGTTGGCCTTCATCGCGAGAGGTTTCGAGTACAGGAGCAGGGATGTGTTGTTGCAGTTATACAGGGCCTTGGTGAGACCACACCTGGAATATTGTGTGCAGTTTTAGTCTCCTTTTCTGAGGAAGGATGCTCTTGCCCTCGAGGGAGTGCAGCGAAGGTTTACCAGTCTGATTCCAGGGATGGCAGGTCTGACGTATGAGGAGAGATTGACTAGGTTGAGATTGCCTTCCCTCAATTTCAGACGAATTGGGGGGTTTGAGGTGGTGCTGGTTCTCATAGAGACTTTTAAAATTCTAACAGGACTGGACAGGGTGGATGCAGGGACGATGTTCCTGATGGTGGGTGTGTCCAGAACCAGGGGTCACAGTATGAGGATTCGGAGTAGATGATTTAGGATGGAGATGAGGAGACATTTCTTCATCCAAAGAGTGGTGAACCTGTGGAATTCATTACCGCATGATATAGTTGATGCCAAAACATTGATTGTATTAAAGAGGTGACTAGGGGTGAATGGGATCAAAGGTTATGGGGAGAAAGCAGGATTAGGCTATTGAGTTGGATGATCAACCATGATTGTGATGAATGGCAAAGCAGGCTTGAAGGGCCAAATGGCCTCCTCCTTCTCCTATCTTCTATATTTTTATGTTTACTATGTTCCTACGTAAGGAAGAAAGCTATATGGCCCTGGTCAGAAGTAAACCCACCAGCTTATGATTTTACAAAGAAGGCCAGTATCAATTCAGCCTAACACATGTCATGATTTGCTCGTGTCTCTCCATTCTTTAAGAAGGATGACAGAGGGGAACCAGGGAATTAGAGACCAGTTAGCTTGATACCTGTGGTGGGGAAATTGATGGAGTTTATCATCAAGGATAGGGTAACTGACCTCCTCTAAAACCTTCAGTTAATCAGTGAGAATCAGCATGGATTCATGAAGGATAAGTGATGCCTGACAAACGTCATAGAGTTTTTCAAAGAGGTGGCAAAGGTAGTGGACTATGGTAAGTTGATGAATGTTGTTTATATTGACTTCCAGAAGGCTTTTGATAAAGTCTCACACAAGAGACTGTTAGCAAAGCTGGAAGCCCACAGAATAGAGGGAAAATTAATAACAGGGGTAGAAAATTGATTGAGTCGCAGGAAACAGAGAACTGGAATAATGGGTAAGTATTCAAATTAGCAGATGTAACTAGTGGAGTCCTGCAGGGATCTATGTAGGGGCATTAATTATTAACAATATTCATTAATGACTTGGATAGTGGCATAAAAAGTCATTTGTTCAAATTTGCTGATGACAGACAATTGGGCAGCATTACAGGCAGTGTTGATGACAGCATGAAATTACAACAAGATATTGATATTAGGTGAATGGGCAAAGCAGTGGCAGATTTTAATATAATCAAGTATGAGGTTATCCATTTCAGACCCAAAAGGGTATTTTTTAGAAAGCGCAAAATTAAATAAGTGGATGCCCAAAGAGATTTGTGAGTTCAGATGCAAAGCTCCTTAAAATGCCATGAGCAGGTGCAGAAAATAGTCAGGAAGACTAATGGAATGCTGCCTCTCATCTCGAAAGGGCAGCAGTGTAGGGATGCAAACGTTATGCTGCAGTTATACAAAACCCTACTTAGACCCCATTTGAGTATTGTGAGCAGATCTGGGCACCACACCTTAGGAAGGATGTTTTGGCCTTGGAGGGACTTCAGTGCAGGTTTACAAAGATGTTTCTATCTTCCCATCTTCCAATAATGTTTTGAGGTAAAAGGCTTTTACTTTAGAATTAGGTTTCCGGAGTGATTCTTTTTAGTTTTGTAC